ATCATGGGATGAAGTATCATCAATATGCTGATGATACTCAATTATACATCTCCATCCCAGGTGAGGTAAGTGATGCCATGACCGCCCTTTCGCAGTGCCTAGAGGCTGTAAGGGTCTGGATGGGGAGCAACAGGCTTCAGCTGAATCCTGGTAAGACGGAGTCGCTGCAGGTTAATGGCTCCTCTGTATTCAGGACTTTGTCATCTTTGGTGCTGGATGGGGTAGCACTGCCCCAAACAGACCTGGTATGTAATCTGGGGGTCCTCCTGGATTCATGGCTCCTGCTCAAAGAGGCCAGGATGGCCTTTGCACAACTTTGGGTTTTGCATCAGTTACGCCCTTTCCTGGATCGGGATGCCCTTTGAACGGTCACTCATGCCCTTGTTCTCCCAGATAGACTACTGCAATGCGCTCTACATGGGGCTACCCTTGAAGAGTATCCGGAAGCTACAGCTGGTCCAGAATGCAGCTGCACAGGCTATTTTTGAAGGCCTCCACAGGTCTTCAAGTTGCCAAGATTGAGGAACCCTGGCCTAGGACATTACTCAAATTTGAAAGTTAGCAGGTAGAGATTTAAGGACACAGCTCTTTGATAGTCTAGTTTTATTATAGATACTTAGAACAGAAAACCAGTGACTGCAAGCCAAATAAAATATGTCCCCAGTTCAACTCCTAGTTCTCTATTTCTTGCTTGTGCACCCCAATGGACAGAGAGCTGTTCATTTCTTGGGGATGGGGGCTGTTGACATCTCTGCGGTGTTCTTACAGACCAGCCTGGTCTCAGATTCCCTTCATCTAAGCTCAGTCCTTCTAGCCCTGCCAGCTATCAAGCTCCTTCTTGTTTACTTTTTTCCTAAACTGAAAAGCTTCAAGTATTATATGCAATCTTTCCTCATATAGAAATGTAATAATTTCTGTACCTTTGATCTCTGGGGTTGCTCTTTTCCACATCTTTCAAGCTATGCTTTTTCACTATGGTGGTCAGCACTACATATAATGTTGCAGATGTGGTTATACTGGTTATTTTATTTTTTTCCTTCCCTAATGAATCCCAATTAAATGTTCCTACTTCATTCCAGCCATAACTGGGCTCATATATTCATTGAGATGGCTCTACCAGCTCAGACTCCCTTAGGGTGCCAAGTATATGCTTCAGAGTTTGGGAAACTTAATTTCAGTTTAATTTATAAAATACTGAGCTTTGAAAGCCTCTAAGGCTGAATAGAAATATGGATCTTTCCATAACTATGTTGACGGTATTTGAACTATAGATTATTTATTCAAAAACTATCATAATACACTCAGCCATAATCCCTTCCAAGAATATTTACAAACTTAAACTAAGCTTTTCATAACAACAACGTGAAATAGCAAGGAGGAAAAAAAATATCTCACACAAAAACACTGAAGTGAAAGCAGACAAAATCTTACATCATACCAATCATTGTTATTTCAATAGTTGGTGAACAACATGTACCTTTTTACATATTAATTTATATAGGCAGTTAATTGGCCATATTTTACTAATTCAATTAAATGTTGTGGATCATAATTTTCTTATTCTATCCATTTTTATATACCTTAGCTGGTTATAAAAACCAACAGAGCACCTCTACATCTTTTGATAAAATTAATCCTTTATATATTCAAGCATAACCAGCATACCTCATACCTTTGGTTTTAATCTTAAAAGAAATTCCTTGGCTAAACAAATAATTTTTGAACTGTCTGCTATTTTGAATTTCCAATGCAAAGGACAAGATTTATTTATTGGAAATACAGAAATAATAAACACCTTCCACATCAGATGCTGTGCTGGTAACGCCAATATTCAGAGTCTGCTGATGAATATGAATTTCAGAGAGAACCCAAAAGATTCTGAACAATGGATAAGCATCCTGATCTTTCTATAATGGATTTTCTTAAGAGAGAAAGGAAACATTTAGATTGTATTCTATGATTTGGTGGGAGTATTTACAAAAATATGCAGCATATGTTACTTGCCTTCTGTAATAAGAGAGAGCCAGAATATTTTGTGACAATATAATATATGTCCTCACCAAAGGTGTCAGCCCAAGCCTTCACTCTATGCAAAGGGGAAAAAACAGAACGTAATCACTAGTTATTTCCATTTCTCCAGGAGTGTTCATGGGGTCAAGATGGTAGCCACAACCTTGTGATCAAAGCCCCACCCTTTTTTACATGCATTAAAAAAAGTTAAGGAGGTGGCTACAATCATGCAAAGCCCTGCCCACATGTAAAAATGGGGTGGGGCTTCTACTGCATAGTTGCAGCCTCCATCTTGACTTTTTTGTTTCCCCTGCAGATATCCCTGCATGTTTCTCAGCCAATTAAGTAGGAATGACCCACCTGGCCCCTCCAATATTACAATTTGTCAGTTCCAGATGTTGGGAAACCACTCTAGCAAGATGTGCAATTTGGGAAGGCTTCCTGATTGGACCTTGCCTCATTGTCTCTCCTGTCTAGTTCCTTGCCTCTGAACCCAGTCTGCAGACTGTGGCATTATGCAGGAGGAAAAGAGAAGCCAAATTGAGCCTGCTGTTCCTTCTCTCCTTTTCTCTGTTATCCCTACTGAGAAGGGACATATGATAAGAAAGAGAAGGGCAGGGCCATCAGGTGTTCTGCTGTTCAACAGTGGGGCAAGGGTAGGCCTTGTTAGGGTTGAACCACATTCTATTGCACTTAGTCTCTGCAAGATAGCAACCGAGGAGGACAAGAAGTTGTTTGAGTACAGCAGTCACCATCCATCAATACAGCCTTGCTATCATATAGTTGCAAACATTTACATAGAGGTCTAAAATGGTCCATCTAATTAATTTAGCATGGTTGCTGTTAGGTATGTATTCTTCACACCAAGGGTGATAGCTAGCCAGTTCAGTCTGGTTTGTGAGAACTGACTAAAATTGTTGTACACATTTCAACTAAACAGTTGCACATGCTTTAGCTTCTCCAGGCAGAGCAGAAGTAAAAGTCCAGATGAAACTTTGTGTGCAGGGTTTTCTGAACAGCCAGGTATTCCATGGGGTGGGAGGTGAGTGGGGATCTGAATTAATATCTTAGCTCTAATTGTATTGGGTATCCTTAGACTCAAGCACCTAATGAAGAATATATCTTCTATTGATCCATCTTACTAGAACTTGGTGTGCCTAACTGTGGTTTTACAGATGATGATTTCTTCTACATTTTATATGTGCATGTGTCTATTTAGTTCAATAGGACTCTGGACAAAAAAATTGTATTACTTCAATTCAGCTCTAGGCAGGGGTGTATGCAGTGAGTTTAGAATTGCAGCTGGTGCTTCATAAACAGTAAAGCCTAACACAATTTTAATTATCTGTGTACCAGATTAGCAATATAAGGACAAACACACTCCTGTTTTCACTATCTACACTTAAGATGAACATCAAGCTAGATTTTCTGTATGTCTTCAGTTCTCTCCTGGGACAAATTTTCTAACTTTGTTTTTTTAAATTAAGAAATGCCATCCAGCTCAAAGGGAATTCTTAATATGAAAAATTATTTTCTGTCAGTCTTATAACCAAAAACCACTGAATTCCTCAAGAATTTCAATCTAGTTTTAGTTAAATTACCTTACTGAGAGCATGTTCCTGCATTTGTGACATCAAGTATATGAGAAAATTCAATTCTAATTGATATCATAGTGATTTAGTAGTTCATAATCCCCATCTTATTGGTTTTGTTGTGATTCACTGTGTTTTTATTAATCTTTGTGAAAAATAATAGCTCTTTTTAAAAGACATGTTGGACCATAGTGCTTATTAACTACTTCAGTATTTTGCATTTTGAAAAGCTAATGTGACAAATTACTGTCAGAACCAGCTGTGGTGTAATATAGATAATAACCCTGGTTCACACACATTCTCTTATTCCCAGCTTATGAATGAAACACTCTTACATTGTCACCAAGCATACCAGTATAAAAATAGCATTTCTCCACTTAAGCTGACTATATCCAAGATATGTATAACCTGTAACAGTTTGGCACCCTTTATCTTGGAGGCAAAGTCAGCTGCTATGGGTGTGATTAGAGTGTGTTTTAAGAGTGTCAAGTGATGCAGGCATGCCCAGCTCCCTGTGGTTCGTACCCAGCCTCCATGTGAGCCATTTCTACCCCCATGTTTTCTCACCATTATTTGTTCATTCATACCTATCATACTCCCCCAATCTTTGAGGAAGAAGGGGGGATATGCATGCACAATTCCACCTTAACCGTATCTGAAAATGACCGCTCTTCCATTATTTTATTTGGGAAGAAAGGGAAATTTAGCACTCTTCTGCTTTAAAAGTACAGTGATCTGAAATGGCATCAGTGTGTGCCTTTACCTTTTTTGTTGAAGGCCACTCAACTCTATAAAGACTGTGGGCAGTGTTCAACATTAAAAACAGTAAGATCAATAAAACAAAGAAAAGAACAATGTATGTCCAGAAGAGAAAACATTCAAACTAACATAAAAAACATACTGACATAATCTCATAAGGGGGCACCGCCCATTCCTACCCAAGGCCTGGGGAACAGCCAGGTTTTCAAAGACTTTTTAAACAACATCAGGGCAGGGGCCATAAGGAATTCTGGGGGGACACTGCTCCAGATATATCACCTCACTTTCCTTCACTACAGTGTCCTGAAGATTACAGATGTTGAACTGAACTTTTATTGCTCGTTTGCCAGTTTTCCTGTATTGGTCAGCTTCAATCATCCTGAAGTTAGAGACTGGTTGCCCAACAGCTAATTACTTTCAAGTCATCTATTCTTCGGGACTTATCTAGTTACACAGTTAGGGCAGGGTCCATCTTCCTCCTCTCTGGGACTCTTTTGTAGAGAGTAAGGAAGATGACCTAGACAGAGATAAGAGGAAGCTGTTGCCTAGACAAAAGGAGCTAAAGCATTTTTTAAGTCCAGAATGTCCAGATAATATTCAGAAGCGGTTCAGACAGTTACCTCCCTGATTCACTGGAGGAGGAGGAGGAGGAGGAGGAGGAGGAGGAGGAACAACGCCGGCAGACTTGCAAGATTCTGTTATTATAGCAATCTCAATAAAAGTAGTTGTAGCCTTTCTGTGGAGTTGATTTCCTGATCTGGTCTATCTAGTGGGGTTGAGAGAGAAATATACACACGCACACACACACACACACACCCTGATATCTTCCTGCATTTTCTTTATTTCACCTTATTTTAACCTGGGAGATACTCAAAGAGGTGTGGGAAGAGGGGCAGATAGGCTTATCCTAGAGAAATCAAGCAGAGTCTGCAGTGAGACCCACTCCTTTCTTGCTGTAGTGCCCTGATGGGTGGATGTGAAAACCTTGCCTACCATGAGTGGCACATCCACCTGTCAGGATGTGCTTTTGAGCAATGACCTGGAGAAGGCATGGTAAAGGCAGAATAGGAGCTGCGAATGGGGACAGCAGATTTCATGCGGCCTCAGAAATAGCATTTAAATTCAATTGTAAGAAAAGGACCATTACTTTCCCCATTTTCTTTCTGTTGTACCAGCAGGACTCATGGGATTTCTACCAATTAGAATTCTAGTCTTGATGGAGATATTTACGGCACATGCATGAGCAGGAATAGAAGATTTAGGAGGCAATGGGAAGGCTTTGCAGTTCCATTTGCTTTTCCATTCTTTCACATTGTTCCGGCAAAAAGGTGGAGATGTATAGTTTCAATAGGAGAAATCTGCAGCACATAGTTTGTGCTGCAGATCTGTAATCCTAAAAAGAAAAACATTATTTTTCTTACAAGACCCATTTGACATGTACTCCAGATTCCTGATCTAATTTATATAAGATAAGGAACACTTGGTTGTCTTTATTATTTCTCATCTGTTTCAATCCTTAACTCCTCTTCAGATGTCCCCGCCCATCAACTCCACTGATATCATGAGGCCCTTCTGTCCTGTGATTGACCTGCATTTTTCAATTAACCCCTGGAAGAGAGGCTGTTTAGACAAGCTAGATCTTCCTATTTACCCTTGTGAGCTGTGAGATAACAAACTTCCAGCAACAACCCCAATCAGATAATTATTTCCCTCTTTTGTCATCGCAAGCACCTGGGGCCTGCTCGACACTTAATCCCCATTAATATCTAACCTTCCTTTGCCGATGCCTGAACTGAGCAACTCTGGGGCTGGAGAGGGGAAAGAGAAGTTGCAGGGCTATGAAACTTGCCCAGTGAAAGCAACTCCTTCATGAATGGAATTCCAGAGACTGTCCTCACCAGTCTGGGCTCACCATGGCCAATGGAGGCAGGACCCCTGATGCTGCAAGTAATTAATGGGGACAATTTAAATAAACATGATGCTGTTTGTTTCGGTCCCAGCATCTCCTTTAATGTCCTCCTGCTTTGGTATCCATCCTGCAAATTCTAAACCAGCTGGCAACACAAACATTTCAGAAAACACTCTGGCAGCACAAAGCCCCCAGGAAGAGCAAGAGGCAAAGTGCAGCTCCTAGGCGGAAAAAATTGCCTACCTTTGCACTAAAAGTAGAGAGAAGCAGGATGTGAGCTGGAAAGATATAGATATGAAGAAGGATAATAAGTGGTTCTTTTTCTTCTTCCGATGCACAATTTTTATGAACAATTATCTAGATATTAAAATGAAAAAGAAACAGGCCAAAGTGTCATCAGGCTGTTTGATGTCAGGGCCCATCTGCATGGACAACTATGGGGGCGGGGGAGAGAGAAAGGATGACACATGTGGAAAGACATCGTGATGAAACCAGTGCTTGCACAGTGTTTGCACTGTGGTGAGGCAAACTCTGCGCCTTTTTTATTTGTATGCATGTTGCACACAAGGACAAAAAGGGCAGTGTTTGCCTCACCACGGTGCAAGGCTGGTTTCATCATGATGTCATTCCACATTGATGATGCTGCAATCACTGTTGCAATTCTATGTTTTCAGGATTTTTTTTTGAAAAATCAAGTTTTTTTGTTCTTTTATTACCTTTATTGCTATTGATCCAATGAGCTAACTGTGAATGCCTTTCTTCCCTACCCCTTCATAGTGATATCTATCCATATTTGAGTCTGCCACAACCTATACTGGCATACCATTTGCTGTCCCCATTGCTAGTCCCCACCCTGCCTCCCTTGCCTCTGTTCCCAGTCCTGCTGTTCACCCAACTTCCCTCCAAGGTGAAGGGTGACAAACTCCAAAACATTTTTACACAGCTTGAAGCTTCCCTTTGACAATGCTAGAAATGCTTTAACACTGGTACAGCCACAGAGAGCATAAGCCTGTTTCACTCATGGGTTGGCAATGAGATGAAGAGAACCTCATGGTAACTTGGCAGAAAGAGAGGAAGACAAGATGGCTGCCTGGGAGCTCTGCTACCACAGGCCTCATGAGGAAGAGGCTGAATAATCAGAGCCAAAGCCCAGGAGACAAAAAGAGGCAAACAAAAAGATAGACAGCCCCGATGAGAAGAGGCAGCAACTGAGAAAACTGAGGAGAGAGTGGCATTTATTTCCTTCCCTCAGGCTGGTGTGAGGGAAAAGTTCTTCAAGCCATTTCCCTCAGATGCAGTAAAGATTCTAAAGAAGAGAAGAATCAAGAAGCCCAGCCAGGAACAAACAAGGAGAAAAGAAGAAAAAGTAAAAACGTTGACAGAACAGAAAGCAGACACTAAAAAAGAGAAAAACTCAATCAATTTCCAGTGCTTTGGGTCTATTGAGCCTGTGTCAACCTGCTTATTGGTGGTTCAAAAAGAGGACCCCTGACAATTGGTTTGTGCTGTGGTTAGTTATGAGCAGGGACATGGCTCTGCCTAAATTTTCTTAAATCATGATATGCCCAAAGTATGTATAACTTCTCCCCTGATTCTTCCCTATATACTTAACATTTTAACTCATCTTGCAACTGTAGGCTGAATTTGGGGCTCAAAACGTGCTTCTCTTAACTCTCCTCACTTCCCAGTCTTAACCCTCTTCCTATGCTATTTTAGTGCAACATAGCTCAGCAGCTCTATACAAGCCAGACAAATGCAGAGTTTCCTCTTGGGCTGGTCAAGCCTGCAAGATTGCAACCCTCAAAATGCAAGCTGTCAGAGAAGTTTGTCCCAGGTGTCCTTGCACTAGAATGATAGTTTTAATAAGGTATGGATAATTGTAAGTGAGTAAATGTTTGCATCAACTCATAATGGGCATTTCGAGATGGGTGCAGAAAACAACTTGAAAGGGGATTGAGAAGTCCCACACATGTTCAAGGAGTGAGAATGTGTGTATATGGAAGAAGTTCTGATGTAAAAGATGGCTTTTATATTAAACAATATGAAATGTGGGTGCTGAGCAGAAGGACTGCTTAGGAGATGGGATATAAAATAGCAGCACAAAGAGTTCTTAAAAGGCAAAGAGCTAAATAGCATGAATGACAGAAAGACAGAAAAATGTAGGCCACTTACGTTTCAAATGGTATCTTCATCTCGGGCCTTGAGAAGGGCAGGAGACAGCTGAGTGAGAATAAAAGCCACAGGAGGTCCCCTGGCAGCATCCTCTGTGTCCAAATTATCGGCAGCAAAATCAGTTGCATAGACAGAGAGAATGTTTACCCATTTCTTTCCTCTAAGATGCTCCCAGACCCAGAAAGTGAGTTCCCAACATCATGGTTGCTGGAGTGAAGTCTGAATCAGGATAGATCTGGAAGCATCTAAACCTTCATTCTATTATCATTATGTTATGGTGTCTCTTCTCCTTCTTCTTTTCAGATGGGCAACAGCTTCCTGAGAGGACCACTAGAATCTGCTGGATTTGGTTGGATGGAGAATCTCAAAGAATACCCTGCTCCATAGCTTTGAAGGGTATCAAAGGGAGACTAGTATCCATGCCCTGTAGGAATGGCAGACTAGAAGGGGAGCTCTGCAAACAGTAAAAGCCACAGGATATACATAATCCACTGCCAGCCCTTTAATCCCCTCATATACTAGAAGCAGCTGCAGATTTAAGGAACTGAACTGGGATAAAATCAGCCAGGATTATTCTAATTTCTGGAGTCACGATGCATCAATCTGTCCTTTCAGAGCCCAGAACCAGCCAACTCTGTCTTTTTAAAAGCAGCATGGCATCACAATTTCACAACTTTAAACAACCCTCCTAGCTTTTGATCCCTCCAAAGATTCCTTTGCTCCCAATTTCATGAAGGGCTGTCTTGTTTTACCTACCATATTCCCTGTTCTGCTCTGCGAATCCAATTTACTTCTTAGCTTCTAGTGTTTTCCCATCACTGTGAAAATATGAAATATATTGAACCCAAAATCCTATTACCCAGGGCAGTCTGATTAAAAGAGAGAATTTAGGACAGGCACACAGTGGTATTGATCATTATCCTGCCATTTTATTTTATTTTTCCTGCTGTGTTCTTTGCTGCTTTAGGGTTTCCCTCAGGAAAAAAAGCTGGTGGATTGTAAACTATGGAAACAGACAAATGAGTACCAAAAACATGAGAATTAGGCTGATATCATAAGTGTAATTAGTTTAGAAGCAGGAAGGCACATGCAGTGACCCTCCACCACCAGACTTGCAGAATCATCAGACATTCTGGGGATATGAGAAAACAACTGATCTGACACACAGGGTGGGACTGGGGGCAAGATACTATTCACAGAGGTACCAACTCTGGACTACAAAACTCCAAAGACAGCAAAGATATGGCAAACTGTAGCTCTTTGCAGCCATCCAGTGGTCATCCAGATTGGTGCAGCCCACATCATGGTCACTCTCTCTGCAATGACATTGACAATCAGTAAGATTTCTCTAAGATTCATTGTTCTGGGAGAGCTTTCAAAGGGTAGTCAAGAAATGTATGGAAGGGATCAACTCATCTGCTCACCCGTTACAGAACAAAAGGCTAGACCAAACGTCTTCCCTGCAGATCAGTGGCTGAGTGTCTTTGATCCTAAAAATAGAAGGGCAGAGTCTAAAGAAGGATGCATACAAAAGAGTCTTAGCAAGAATAACATTGGTTTGGATTTCACTTAGCAGAAGGAGTAGCGGGGCCATAAATGCTCCCAGATCTCTTATTTATTTTTAGTTCCTGGAATTGTGTGTGACTGTATTACTGAATATTAGTTTTACACCATTCTGAGGTGGCAAACTGTAACGGTATGTGGGAATGACCTTCGGAGACAGGAGGAAAAGTTGCACCCTGGACAACGGCCTGATAAAATGGAACGTGAATCTGAAGGAGGAGGGACGGCGAAAGCATCTCAGGAGGGACCCATCCTAGCTTTTGGGAGAGTAAAAGTGAGGGACGGGAGGGATAGTTTCAGATCTGCAAGATTCTGTTAATGTACAGTAACCTTACAATAGAGGTAGAGCTAGTACTCCTGGGTGTGCTTCTTGTCTAGACTACCTCGTAAGGCTAACCGAAACACATTAGTATGCCAAGAGTCACTTGACTGCAGAGATTTAAAAATCTAATGAACAAGTGAAATAAATAAATGGTCCCCCAAAAGGAACAAAAAATCCTCCACTAACAAAAAATCCTATACCATACATGAAACAACCCCCTCTTTTGTCTAATCCTCCTCCTCAGCCCACTATGGTTTCTTCAACTAATTTGATTAAATAAGTTTTGAAGGGTTCAGCCTGTGAGGGGTGCAGGGATGTAGCCAGAAGGCAATTATGTCCCCATAATAGGCAGAGCTGAAAATTTTAGTTCTTTTATGAAGAGGGAGGGACGCAGGTTGGGAGCGTACAGGGAGATATGGGTGCAGAATCTTAATGGATTTGTTTTACCTCTTCATTAATTAATTGTTTGATTATCAACTCTTAGTGACTACATAGATAGATGTTCTCCTGGATAATTTGCCTCCAGCTTGGCCCTTCAGGTCTTCCTACTGCCACTGTAACAAATCCATCCACATTCCTGCTAGTTATCCTTTTCTTTCCTTCCACCTCTGCCCAGCTGGGCCCTTTTCCAATACTGCACCATTAGAACTTGTACAACCCAAATTTCTAAGATTGGCCTTCAAGTCCCAAAATGTGTCTCTAATGCCACCCTGAGATTAGAGACAGGTCTCATGAAAGTGGAGGCTACAGTGTGGGTGACCATACTCAACTATTGGCTCAGACTCTCCTTTTTAGTCTTGGCCTTGCCCCATTAACTATGAGGGATGATTTTCAGTCCACACGGTAACAGGAGTAGCAACTAAAATCTCATCCTTGGGCTTCTCTTCAGGTCTTCTACTCAGCACGGGATATGAGCAGGCCAGAGCACTCATCAAACAGTATGTAGCAGACACAGAGCACCAATTGGATCTAGCCAAGTCCCCAACCTTTGTTGCCAGTAAATCCAACAGATACCCTGCCTCCTCTATGGCATACTTAACTAAACTTGAAATACCTAAACACCAGAGGGCCTTTACTCTGGCACAATGCCATGCCCTCCCCTCAGCTGTCCTTGAAGGCCAATACAGGTAGATCCCTTACCCAGAGGGACAATGCCCCTGTGACTCTGGACACATGGAAACAACAGAACATGTGCCTGTAGTACAGAGACATTCGTACTAGACTCATCTCACCATTACTGTATAAATACTCAGGGAGCACGGGACAATTCTACA